CTGCATAGATGACCCCAACAGGTCAGTGCTTAAAAGAAAGTCACTGTCACCCAGATATTGCTAACTCTGAGCTCCAAGATGGATATATCCATGGTTTGTGGAAACTAGTTAAGCTCCTTGAAGAGGCCACAAGGCCCCCCACGGCTAGTTTTGCACCTATTGGGTGACAGGTGCCATGGTCCTCATCTTCAGAGCAAGGCATGACAGAAACTCATGGAAGTGCAACCAAGAAATGCCCTGAATCTTTCTAGATTAAGTTCTGCTCCAGCAGCAGGCTCATGCTGGAGCAAGGGACTTGGTTCAATTTCCATCACAGAATTCTCAACAATGCCCCTTGGAGTCAGTTAGCTAGAACTAAATTTTCTAAGCAAAATATTTCATTGAACAGATCCAGATGGAGGTTTTCTAGCTTCTCTCTAGAGTCTAGACATTGGAGATGGACAAAGTCAGCAGCCTCAACCAGTTCTCTATTGGAAAGGGGAGACTTATACCATTTTTATTTGGCTTTTCTCTGAGGCTGGGGTGAGGTTGACTGCAGTCTGATTTAAGCTGGAATGTTCTTGGAATAATGTGGTCCCTTGACATAGTAAGAAACTAGCCAAACAGCCTCATAGAATCCCATGGGCTTGGGTTTGGTTTAAAGAACACTGCTTGTGAACCCGAGAGCCCATGGCTTCTAAGGAAAAAGGCATTAGACACAGTGAGGCAGTACAATGAACAGCAGGTGGATCTCTGTGCATCTCATCCCACAACAACTATTTCCTACATTTTATAAGCTGAGAATTTGCTTATGTTTGAAAACCCCTGCCATCGGGCACAGTTGCTAAGGAAAAGCAGAGCAAAATTTAAAAGAGAGCAGCGAGTTGTGCCTGATTCTTAGCAGCAGGGACAGAAAGCGACAGTGATGCCTCTAGGACTCCTGGATCCACCGTAGAAAAGTATGACCATGTTGCGAAAAAAGGAATTCTGTTCTTCCAACCGAGCCTAATAGTAGTAGAGATCTCTTCTCTCTGGAGACTGGCTTCCTGGAAAACAGGGTAAGTGTAATAGTGAAGAAGCTAGTTTTAGAAGCCGGGCATGGTGGTTGGTGCCTTTAATCCCAGCACTCAGAAGGCACAGGTAGGTGAATCTCTGTGAGTTTGAGGCCAGCCTAGTCTATAGCTTGAGTTCCAGGACAGCCACTGCTATTACACAGAGAAAGCCCGCCTCAAAAAATCAAAAAGTATCAAATGAGCCCAGGTGTGAGTCTAGGGCTGCCAGTGCTTCGCTATGTGTTCTTGGGCCACTTCCTTGGTCTGTCTGAAGTCTACCTTCCTCATGTTGAATGGATATATTAATAATGAGTACTTCCTAGGTTTCTAGTATAAGACAATATCACTGGCAGATAACATCAGTTGTATTTCTTATCATACTTTCTTCACATTTCGTTTCTTTGGTTCAATACAGTGTGTGGAACCTCAGAAAACAAACAAGAAACAAAACCCCACCATGCTTACTTAGAGCTAGATTGTCCATGACCTTGATTTTAACTGCATCAGGATTCCTTTCTCATCCTTAAATCTAAATTATGTACTCCATGAACTATGCTATGATATCATTTGCAAAAGAAAACTCAGATAAGGGAAACAATTCCACCAATTATTTATATATTTTATTTAATTTTAAATAACTTAATTTTGACCTTTGCTCAATCCTCAAATCTTGTTGCAAATTGCATCCTTTGACCAATGTATTTCCCCTTAGCTCTACTTAACACACTTGCTAACTTTGCTTCTGAAACTATTTTCTGGGATGTGGTTGAGGAAATTGCTTTACTGGTATAGGAGTCCCTAAGGCAGGCAAAGACTGGCTACTGATTGCAGCCTGGAGTATGTCTTCCTGCTGCCAAGGTCACTACATAACTAAGCTCATCTAAGCGAGCTCAGGGACTATGCTGGTGGTTCTTATTTTTGTTCTTTGAGCAACTTTGGGTTATAAAATGCCTTCTACAAAGTTCTATGCTCTTTGCTTTTGGTTCTGTTTTATGTTAGAGATAAACCCAGGGCCTCTATCTGCTAAGAAAGCACTCTGGGCCAGCAATCTACCACTGAGCTGTATTCCTGAGACACTTTCTACTGCTTCAATGACTAGCTGTATGTCTTAGTTAGGGTTTCTATTGCTGTGCAGAGATACCATGACCATGACAACTTTTATAAAGGAAATAGTTAATTAGGGCGGCTTACAGTTTCAGAAGCTCAGTCCATTATCACTATGGCAGGGAGCATGGTGACATGCAAGCACGTGTGGTTCTGGCTACATCTTGATCAGAAGGCAACAGGAAATACACTGTCTCATTGGGAAAAGCTTGAGCATAGGAGACCTCAAAGTTCATTCCCACACAGACACACTTCCTCCAAAAAGATCACACCTATTCTAATGAAGCCACACTCTCTAATAGTACCACTCCCTTTGGGGGCTATTTTCTTTCAAACCCACACTATAGCTAAGTATTAGTCTAAGCATTCACATACATCATTTTATTAAGTTCCCATAGAACCTGTATATGGTAGTCACTTTATTTATTTATTTGGTTTTTTTTTTTTTTTTTTGAGACAGACTTTCTCTGTGTAGCTTTGAAACCTGTGTCCTGGAACTCACACTGTAGACCAGGCTGGCCTCAAACTCATCGAGATCCATTTGCCTCTGCACCACCACAGCCCGGCGGTGG